CCCCCCTCGAAAAAACCAACAAGAAACCAAAAGCAAACCGTATTATAAGTACAATAATAAAAGGATTACAACTGGTTCAATTCCACATGCAAATGTTCCACTTTAGCGTGAACTTGTTGACTTTCATCTTTTTAAATCGACTAATATTTCTACAGGCCGTACCAAACTCAATGTGGGCCATAGTTTACCTACCCCTATCTTATAGTGATCGGTGATCAAATGGCTTTCAGATCTGTTAAGAACATGACTGCCGACTAGGCCTATGGTCTCTAAAAAGGTGTACCCATCGTTTTAAGACCTTGGAATAATGTTTTTGTTTTTTAAGTGAAGGTGTTTTGCGATCCCATCGACACACTTTAGATCATTTTAGAAGGCAGGCTACGACCATGCTTGTCAAGGCCAACCAAAGTTAAAATAGATACAACGTCCAAGCAGAAAGACGGAGAAACTCAATGAACACTTTCCCCACAGAGAAATCAAACTTAGGTCGCCTGCGTGTGGCAGCGAAGCGCCTAACTGCTATGTTATTTCTTAAGTACAGTTGACTGACAAACCACCGAAGAATGCGTATGGAGACCATGGAATAGATCAATAAAGTTGGTCAAGTTTTCTTTGGGGGGTTTTTTTCAAAGAGAGTTTTTTGTCGTTGGTCCTGAACAGGACGCTTTTGTTTGGAGATGAATATAATCATCGGCAGTCTCTTATTTCTTAAAGAGTGTGTCAGATCGTCCAACTGAGGTTTAGCAATCTCCATTAAACAAGGGAAATAGGGAAAGTTTGTTCGTAGTCATTATCCTGATTCAGGGTGAGAAAGGAATAATATTGACGATGATATACAGATTAGAATGCAGAGCGGGAATATGCATACTTACTACTCGTAGTATGCATGTTGAAGCCCGCCTCGTAAGTTTCAGATAATAGAACGACGAAGTGAAAAATCTTTACGAATAATGAAGTTAAACTTCTTATTCCAAAGTGTCCCTAAAACAGAACTTCTTCAAGTGTTGCTGAATAACCAGAATGTACGCCCTCGAAAAGCTAAGCTACTTGTTCTGTTTCTTATTTTATCTCTTTATTTCTTATTCTCCAGAGTGATTCCGTACCCTTGCTTGAAATCAGACAGCTGCAGGATCGGAGCCCAAACCAAACGCAGAAAAAGCTGCCCCAAGTGTCGCTACGAAAAATGCCTTGCTGCCGGGATGTCCAAAGACGCCATCCAACACGGAAGGTACACCTACTCCAAACGTACTCACGACACCCTGGAGGTCAGGATGCTAGCAAAACTAGGGAATCGTTTGACGGACGAAACTAGTGACGGAGGCTTTGAAGAGAAAAACACCCGAGATGTTGGCTGTCCAGACTCCAAAACTATTCCCGATGCTGACGTCTTGTCGTCTAAAGAAAAAGTCAGCAAAAACAACAACAACAACAACAACAACAACAACAACAACAACAACAACAACAACAACAACAACAACAACAGCAGCAGCAGCAGCATCAGCAGCAACAACAACAGCGACAACCTCTTCGATTCTAGTTTTCTTTCTAGCCCAGAAGCACAGGCGATGTGCAGTGATGACGCACTCCCTGAAATCTATGACGAAGGCTGCAGTTTCACAGATCTTCTGCTGGACAGCACTTCAGATCCATTCTACCGCTGCAACTGGTCTGTTGACCATGGAGATAACCAAGGTCGTCTCACAGAATCACAGTTTAATAGTTCTCAGAAAACCACATCAAGTGCCGTCAATGTGACTGAAACCCCCAACACGTTCCCCCACGACAGTGGTGGGGAGACACTCATACCTGCGATGCTGTGGCAAGGAACACAGAGCCGCTCAGATGATTTGTTGGCTCAAAGTTACACAGAATCTGATTCACCAATCAACGCCTTGGATACATTATTACAGCCTCAGTCCGATCTTTTTGTGGATACAACCAAAAAGACTGAAAATGTTCCTCGCCTCGACCAGCTACCATTAAATTCAACAGGTGAATTCAATTCAACTGTAGAAACAAGAGACATAGACGGTGTCAGTCTAACAGAACTGGGACGTCTTACATCAGCAACCAACAACGTACATTTTGACCAGAAAACTGTCAGAAATAATTTTTGCACGGACTCCAATACTCACAAGTCCCTGTCGCCCACAACAAGATATCCGACAGTGGCCATAAATCACCATAACTCACCACACTCCTTCAGTCTTCCATCAAATATTCCCCAGTTGTCCACATTTTCAACGTCGCAAAAATCCTGCAGCTTTTATTCGAGAATGAAACAACAACCCACCCCAGTTGCTGCCAGCATCAAAGATCTTCTTATGAAAGAAGATAACGACAATGACGTGTTATTCAATGGCAGGAGGGTGAGCCAAAGCGAAGACAAACATGGTCGTGCCATCAACACCGCTGATGCATTCAGTGAAAAGAATAACATTGAATGCAATGGGCAAGGTCATCTGAGTCAGCCGGTAAGTGAGTTCAGCAGGGGGGAGAGTAACTCCCCTTCGTCGTCGTCTGCCATGTTTTCAGCCGACAGTGGGGCTGACACCAGTGACGCCAACCTTGACTTAGTACATAAAGAAGATTTTGACGCTGAGCAACTCCTGAGAAATCTGTGGAGTGCGTCTGATAACTGCCAAAATACTGGATTGGCTACAGGTCCAGACTTGCAATCTGCTGTATGTCCAAGTGCAAGTCTAAACTCGAACTTCTCAGACCGTAAAAATATTAAAGAAGCTGCTCCATGCCAAAACGAACATTACTTTGAAGGACATCAGAAGTCAGAATGTGTTATGTATCACAACACAGACGTTGGCAGTCACCAATCGACGAACTTCTTTTATTTGTCTGCGTTGCCCAGTAGCTGTGCCAGTCAGAAGCAATCACCCTCGACTCAGTTCACTCTCCCAAATTGTCAAACTCCACACATCCCAAATGATTGTTCCTACAGCAACCAGAACACTTCCAGCGGTCTTTTGACAAACGGTAATGGTCTATTTCAATACCAGAACCTATCAAAATTTCCTCAAATTAGCCCTTGGGGTCAATCTCAAATGATGCCCCCATATCAATCTTCTCCATTGTCTCAAAACTACTCACCCGTCTCAACCTTATCAAACAAAAGTAATAATGACAACGATAATTATGACGACGACAGCAAAACGGAAACAACATCAGACGTCACCAAGCCCCTGAAGGACCTTCTGATGTCAGGAAGGTTCTCCAAAGACTTGCACAAAGTCCTCGGGCTTATCATAAAAACGAGCTCCTCAGCTGGGTCCTACGAGCACTTTACCCCAGTCCCCACAGACAACGCGGAACTCTATCCCTTCACAATGACTGGCTCTTGCTCCTCCTGGTTATGTCTCGTCACTGCACAGCCCAGCTCCATACAGCAGCTCACCTCCAACTACTCGTCGCCACTGGCGAATCTCCTGTCATTAAACAACGCCCCGAGGGGGAAGATGAGGACAGAGGATGGCTGTTCGATTACCCCACTTTCTGAAATGAAGTTTATCATCAATTCACTGGTGGCTGCTCATGATGAGACGATCGGACACGACACCAACACTTTGAATGAGGTAGGGTAACACTTCTCATTTTTCTCATTTTTCATTCCATACTCACGGAGAGCCCGTTTGGGTGG